GGAGGGTAACGTTGGCCATGAGGAAAAGGTTCTTGAGGCAGAGGGTGGTGAAGCACTGGAACAGGCTCCCCAGGGAGCTGCTGATGGCACGAAGCCTGACAAGATTGCAGCAGCATTTGGCCAAGGCCCTCAGGGACATGGTCTGAATGTTGGGATTGTCCTGTGCAGGGACAGGAGTTGGACTCCATCATCCTTGTGGGTCCCTCCCACTCACAACACTTGATGATTCTTTATGGGGCAGCTCCAGGAGGACCAAGGTGGGAGGAGATGAGCTGGGTCTCCCTGGGCTGTCTGTCACTGTGGCCCAGGTGTTTAGCTGCCAAGGTTATTTTGGGAAGGTGTCTGCAGTCCAACCTGCCTGCTCCTGGGCATGTTGCCCTGCGTTGGGGGGCAAAGTGCAATTTCTTTGAGCAGCGAGGCTGGAATCCTTGTCCCTAGTGCTTGGTGGCACTGCTGCTGCCTCTGCATCCTCAGCTCATGGCTCTTGCCAGGGTCTCATCTGCCACACTTGGCCTCCAGCCCCATCTGCTATTGCTGGTCTGAGCTCCATGGGGATCTTCCAGCACTTCTTCCCTCTCATGGGTGTTCTCTGTGAGGCTGGGTGCAGCCAGCCCCCATCCCTCCCCTACACACCAGCCCCATCCTGGCAGAGGGAGAAGCTGCAGAGCCCCAGGCTCCTCTCCTCCCCGCCATGTCCCCAGCTGGCCCCATCCTGGCCACCTCCAGCTGGTGGGAGACTGTGAGGAGGGGAATGTCTTTGGCTTTTTTGGAAGCTCAGGGACCTGACCCCAAGGCAGAAGATTTTTCTCTTGCCAATCATTAAGCGTGTGGTGTTGACTCATCCAGGCAAGTAATGATGAAAGGCACAGGAGCTGGGCATGCTCCCAGCCCTGGGCACCACTGGATGCCAGTGCCTGGTGCTGCCCCTGGCAGGGACCCACACCCTGGCCTGATGTGGGCACCCCTCAGACCTGCTGGGTGCCCAGAGACAGCTGGGCACTGGAGTTTATCTGTCCCAGCCCTGTGTCCTCCTTAGCTCTTGTGCCCATCGGGTTGGACCCCTTCCCTGGGTACCCCCCGGGTGCCAAGGGGCAGGAGAGGGAGATGTCCTCTGCACTGTTGGTGGGACAGGGGCTGCCAAAGGGACAGGCAGCAGCGGGTCAGGGGAAGAGCTGCTGTCTG